ATAGATAGATAGATAGATAGATAGATAGATAGATAGATAGATAGATAGATAGATAAATAGAGAAAGAGAGCAGGCGGGGTCAAAGAGATGCCATGTTGCTGCTGAAGGAGAAAGATGCTTCCACCAGAACCTTTCCATTAAGCCACAGTCTTGTGGCAACACACAGATTAATAGGTATGGGCCAATCAAGATGTTAAAGCTAGCTAGAAATATGCCTGTGTCATTGACCAAACAGTATTGTAATTAATACAGCTTTTGTGTGATTATTTGGGTTTGAGTAGCCCAAGAATGAAAACGCAGTCTTTGCCTACAGGGATTTAAGCGCAAGCTATGTTAAAGAGCTGAGTAAGGATCACTAAGGACCAGTCTCTCAGTAATATAATGTGCATCTAGGGCATGTCCAGGAAGAGAAGGGGGTGGGGTAAAAACACAAAAACCATCACACTGAATTATGCATCTAAACACCACTTTGTTTTTAGATGAAATAAAGAGAATCCCAGAGGCACAGAAAAACTTTAAAGCAGAAATAAAACTGAGATGGGGGAAGATGGGGCCTTGAAAAGAGAGAGAGATCCTGAGCCGCTGAGATCAGGTCTCCTGCGGCTTTGTCATCCTCTGTCCTGCGTTTTCATCTCTCTCTGCCTTCCCCGTGGAAACTGAGGTAGTGCTGAAACAACTAGACCCCCCCCCAAAGGAAGAGCTTGGGGCACTACCTTGATTCTGTGTTTTAGACATGGTCACAAAAAGAGCAAAGCCAAGGCCCCCATGAGTGGCAGTGTTAATGATCCCCGAGGAAACGTAGGTGGTCCAAGAAGAAAGATTACCTGTGACTCTCCTCTGGTCAGGATCTTCAGATGATTTGTGACTCTTTTTGACTTCTTGCTGATTGAATGAATATTCAATTTGGATAGTTTGTCTTTGAGTGATTCGTCCTCATCGTTCTTCCTATATTTCAGAACTGAAAGAGAAGAATGCAGGGATACATCCAAGTGTTTGCAGCCAGATTCCACACTCCACTAGCATTTTTTTTTCTTTTTTCTGATCACCAGGTTGGTGTTAAGCACTGTCCTGCCTTGTTTTATTTTTTTCCTTATTTATTTATTTATTTAAAGAATTTCCACTTCCTCCCCTACCACTAGCATTTTTAAGGCCAATATTTATATTGAGGACAGGACTTAATCCTTTTCTGCAGGGGCCATTACCCCGTTACTCCTATTACCCGTTTGCCTAGTCTGTCCAAAGTACCTCACCCATTGACCTTCAGAAACTCAGCTATTCAAAGACATGGTTCCTCAAGGCTATTCAAAGTCAAGTTAATTTACTTCCCACATTAAAGAAATAACTAGATGGGGGAAGAGGTTGGATTTTACCCTCTGTACCAAAGAGGGAAGAAAAGAAAATTCCTTGTACTAGCAGAGAAGAAAGCGTCCACTCTCTGATGGTGGGTATTATCTGGGAGTCTCTGGAAAAGGAAATCAGGTCCAAACCAACAAAAAGACAGCTAAACCCATCACACATAAGCCTCAAATCCTAGGTTGGCTTTTCAAGCACTCTGTGATTTGGGGCCAGGTGAGAATCACTCTGAGTTTTACCTCTCTTTGAAATAACTGTTAGCCCTGGTTTTATTCCAAATGTTTGATACAGTCACTGTTGGGAAGGGCGTAGAAAGATGTTCAGTCATGGCACTGTTGATGAGGGTTCAGCCAACAGTGCATGTTGAGTTAGACAAGATGCACTGTTTACTGTTTCAAGTTTGACAGGAATGGTACTATATCGAACATAGAAAACTCAAGACTGAGCCAAGTGTAGCGGCATACACCTGTAATCCAGACACTTGGAATGTGGAGACAGGAGGATTCTTCTAGGCCGGAGACAGGAGGATTCTTCTAGACCAGCCTCATCTATATAATGAGTTTGAAGCTGGCTTGGGTGACATGAAATCATGCTTCATAAAATAAAACAAAACATCTTTCAAATAATTTTTGTTATTAAACCAGTTGATACAGTGTTTTATGTCATTGCTTTTTAACCTTCTCATCATATCACAGAGTATAACATAGTTTATTATTCATTACTGGATAATTATGTAAATCTTTAAAGCAATTTTTGATCAGTTTCCTACTTTTGTCTGAGATCATGAATAGTAATGTTTTGACTAGTACTGGCTAGTGCCACGCATTCTCTGGCTCACGCACTGAGCTTATCACATCATTGCGATTTTCATTTTCATTCCTCCAGTTACTAGCAAAGCTTCCTAGGAATTGTTCTTTTTATTGACTTTTTACTAGAATATTCTTATTACTGAAATAATTATAACAATAATACATTCTAGGCAGCCATGCTATGTGTGCAGTCTTTTCATTTTGCTTTTGTTATCTTTTACCCTATTGCTTTGGTATTCTCTTCTTTATGGTTTTAATTTGCTAAAACAAATATTTTGCTTTTTACTTATTGGAAAACAAAACCAATCAAAGAAAAGGAATTCATTGCACCATTTATTTTTAAATGCCTGTCATTATTTAAGCATTGAGTTCAAGTTTCATATTAGAAACACAAACTTAGATAAGAGCTCTTCGTGACACTAATCCCATGAGAGGATGAAGGGCTGTTATTCCTGGGACATGGGGTCCATAGAATTAACACTCCTATATTGAAACCTACACTTGACATTACGCAATAATTGCAATATCTTAGCTTAAAATAATTAAAATTCATTTGTTAATTGTAGAAACAAATCACTCTGTGCCCCTGCGACCCCAATCTTCATTCCTATGTATCATTCATTTGATCCACAGGATCAAGTCCCAGATGGAACCCTTCACATGGACCTGGACCCCGACCGGCCTTTTTCTGGGCTAGTCTCCCAGGGCTGCAGTTTCTGGGCTTTATTCCCACCCTTCTCTACAGACATTGAGCAGCAGGAGGCCGGTCTGCCCACACTCTACCACGGAGTACACAGTGGTCAGGGGCGAGTGAACACTTGAGCGCACCCGTTGGATTTGTCTTTTTAATGACTAGTTTTGTATACATTTTATGGTCTTTTTTCTCCTAGCTATTCAGGTAAACTCACATGCTCCTCCTGTCCTCTGACTCTCGATTTCAAACCATCATGTTCGCTGCGATTGCTGCGTAACTGGGACACTGTGACTGTCACACACTGATGGAACACTCCAATTCTGGGGACCAGGCTGCCATGCTTCTACCTACCTAGGTCTTTCCTTCTTTTCAGCTCATTGATGTTAACGTTAATGTCCTTCACAGCAGCGAAGGCTGCCTCCAGGGCCCTGTAGTCGGGGTGGGAGGGAGGTGTCGAGTTCCGAAGTTCACAAAGTAGCAGGGGGTATTTCATCACGCGCTGAATAGGTTTGATCATCAAAGAGCCCATGTCCAGCAGGTTTGGTTTGCCTCTATGACAGACATCATTGATACCCATTTTACATTCATTTACTAACTTTGTTTCCCATTTTTTGATTTACTGAAAAATAATTGCTCCTAAAACAGTTTTGCTCCTTTGAACTATATAAAAATTTTCAAATGGAAACAAGAGTTGAAAAAAAAAAGACAAAAGGAAGCAAGGCTGAAAGACCCCACTAACTACACAAAAACCTAAAACACACAGGTATACACACCTACCAAAGAGCACCCAAGTTTAGCTTTACATTCAGGTCAGTATATGCACCAGGCTTTAATCCCAGTTTCATAATGTGTTTTCCTATGACAACCAAGAAAAATGAAATTCCCCCATGGTGTTTTTGTTATTACTACTGAGCAACATAAATTCATAACTGAAACATTCAAATATGTGACTGGAAGAACATTGTCGAAACTCAACACTGTCCTCTCTTTTCTAACAAGCTGAAAAGCTGCTCACGCAGGGGTCCTGCACAGACTCCAGAAGAAATTTGTAACAAAAGTAATGACCCTTAAGTATCACTACCATACTTTCCTAATTGCTATGCACATGATGGCTTTCTCAGCCCTTTTCCCTTTCTCACAGGTGAAACGTCACCAACAGCTCTTTGTATCAGTCAGCACACACGTGTGGCACTTCCATTCGTGCTTCTGAGACAGAGTGTGAGTCTTCCCACTGGCCTGGGTTGTCAGGAGAAAGAAGCCCCAAGTTCTGGGAAGTTGCCATCCAAACTACTGTCACTGACCAGCAGGGGCTTCTAAAAATCAATCCAGGAAATGGTAAATTATAGACAAAGTGATGACATTGTTTAAATCCCAACAGATGGATTTTTTTATACTCATACTTTAACATAATTTGAAAAAGAGAAGTAAAAGTGTCCAAAAATGATCTAGTGGCATCTTAGAAACAATCTAGTTCAATTTTTCATTTGACAAATGAGAAACCAAGGTGTTCTGATTGTCATGTGTACATGCACATACACCCACACACAACATGTGCATACGCGCACACACACGTGCACACACACACACACCAATCTTTATTTCATCTATCTCCCTATTTTGTGTTCACCATCTCCCCTAGAACTGAATGTCTGTAATCATTTTATTTCCCAATTTCCCAGTTTGTGACCAATTTCCCTGTCACCACTGTATCTCCCACCCTGATTACATTTTATCAATGCACATATTTAGGCTGAAAAATCAATGAGTTTTCAGGCTTTCTGTCATGTTCTTTTATTTTCTATTGAAAATCCCCTCTCCCCAAATTTCAAAATGGATAAATAAATAAATGACTACGACAGAGTTTACTTATATCTTGAAAAGCATTGCACTAACCTGACGGAAAACCATAGCAAACACTACATGTTTGCAATAAAGAAACAGAAAGATAAAGGCAAAGAGAGAGAGGGAGACAGAGAGAAGGATCAAGAGACAGAAAGAGAGCTCAGGAATGGGAGGAAGGAAACATTATTGGGTTCCAGGAGAACTGAATGGAGCACATGAGAAATGATCAATTATATTGAAAACCCAACTAAAAGCATTTTGATTGATGGGATGCCAGCAGCTGGGAGCATTTTTTTTAATGTTTCAAAGCAGGGATTATGCCTTAACAAAAGTTTATACTCCTATGGAGACAACCCAATGGGACAAGCAAGAAGTCAGGAACAACATCTAAGTGACTATAGTCAGAATTTCTTGTGAGTTTATTCTTTGATTACCACCAAACATTAATTCACTTAATCATTCAAAAAGCTACTGAAAATACCTTCCAAAATAAGTGTCAAAAACTTTGAAAAAAGCACTAGTAGATCATTTATTTTGAGTCATCTCTGTGTATAAGTATATATGCAAGTTTTTAGAACCAGAACAACAACAACAACAACAACAACAACAACAAAAACCAAAAAAACAAAGAGCAAAAAGCACAAATGTGTTAAACGGTGCAGCTGTTTCTGTGAGCTGCCCTTCTTCCTCCTGTATCTAGATGTGTCACATGCCAATCAGGGCCGTAATTGAGTTCAAGTGTTATTACGACTTTTTCTGTCAGTCCTTAGCACCAATCTTCTAGCGCCTCTGTTTTACGATTCAAGCGATAATTAGAAAGGATTATTGTTTTTTTTTTTTTTTAGAAAACCGTCATAAATGCAAATCTGAGAAAGGACTGACAAGAAGAGATTTCCCAGGAACTTTTGTCTTCAGATATAGTCATTTTCAGTTGCCCAGGCAACGATCAATAGCGCCCTGGTATCTGCATCAGACAGACTACACCTTGGGAGAAACACTAGAGGATGTGTTGCAAGATAACAGCACTCCAGGCACTCAATGCCACAAAGTTCGCTGCCGCGTCTCATCCCTCCCAGGGAGATTACGTTTTGATAATGGCGAAGGCAGAAGAGTCCTGTGTGTGATAGCCCCATGCCAGCCAGTTGTTGCCTGCTGCCCACAGTAAGGAACCCAGTGTGTAACAGTGCTCCACAATATTGTGCTGAAACTGGACGCCATCACTAACATATAGCACTGTTTCGGCTTCCACTTGAATCACAAATTTCTTGGCAAGTGTTTGGTGCCAGACACAGCTACATTAATCTCATCACACACTAATATTGGGGCTTTGCCAGGTTAAGGAAACACAGTTAGCTTTGTTTTAGTGCTATCTAGTTTTGCTGTAAAACTTTTCCAATAAAATGGAGGGAAAATATTATTTAGACACTGTAAAAACTATGGTAGAAAACAGGAAAAATATTCCATATGAAATATGCCTGTATGTTCTAATCAGAGGGAGAATAGAGGGAAAAATACAACTGATGACTGGCTGTAATTTTTTGAATTTCTTCTATTTAATGACCATAAGTATACTAAATTTTATATTTATTTTATAGTATCCATAAAGTAATCTTTTAAAAATTTAATCTCTTTATGGAACTTTTAAGTCAATAATAAAGACCAATGTCTATATTACATAACAAATAGCATTTGCTATAAAATATGGAACTCAAAATAAATGCACGACTATTAAGTTCTAGAAGAATAAAGGAGGAAAATGAATTATAACTCATGTAGATGAATGAAGAAGCAGTAACTATGGAAAGACCACACTTAATTATTCAGGAAAATTTACCATTAACAGCTTCTTAGCAAATAAGGGAGTAGGGATAGAAAATATAAGAGCTGGGGTACCCACTGCTTGCTGCCAAAAGGGGTAAGTTCATAAAACCCTTAGTAAGTGGCACCGCTCTTGGCTAGACCTACTCTGAGCACAAAGCCATCATCATGAAGAATATTGATATGGCAACTCAGACCACCCTCACAGCCATGCCCTGGTGGCTGGAATTGACCATTATCCCCAAACAGTGACAGCTGCCATGGGCAAGAAGAAAATCGCCAAGAGGTCAAAGATCAAGTCCATTGTGAACGATTATAAGTACGGTCACCACAAGGCCCTCTGTGGACATCCCCATGGATAAAACTGTTGTCAACAGGATGTTTTAGCGGCCCAGCAAGGCCAGGCGCAAAGCCAACGTCAAGTGTGAGGAACAACACAAGACGGAGAAGAACAAATTCCTACAAGGCAGGGAAGAACAAATGGTTTTTCCAAAAGCTTCGCTTTTAGGTGTATTTTACTTTCATCATTAAAATAAATAAACTGAAAAAATAAAATGAATGTAAGAGGTACAAACATAGCAGGGCAGCTGTATGTATGAGCTCACGTGGTTAACTGCAACAGCATGCACAAGCCCTGTGCAAGCCGGACACTAGACAGGAAGTCCCACCCTTAGCCAAGGAGAGATTGACAAGTGATAGGTACTGGAGAGGAAGAGTCGTTATTCTTTTAAAAACGTTGCCCCTGGAAAGTCAACCATGCTCCAGTGGAAAGCCACACATCCAGGAGGATAGCAGCAGCACAATCTGCACTTGGTGGGTGGAAAAAGAAGACAGGAAATTGAGTGAAGAGGGGAAGTGGTGTTGGGAGGACCTGGGGGGGGTGAATATGATCAACATGTATTGTATGAAATTCTTAAAGAACGAATTAAACTAAAAATTAAAAATTAAAACTTTAAAAGTGAAGTACTTACTCTTGCATATATATATTCCTGTGAAAGAATGAGAAAAAGTAAATCAGTACTAATTCACACACATGGGATAATAGGCAACATTTAAAATACTTTCAAATTTTACTTTATCAAATGAAGTGGTAAGTGAGTTTCACGATTGCCCCATGGAATCAAGTGTCTCTAATTAGAAATATGTTCTAAAATGACACTTTAATATATCTACTGGTCTTTAATAACACATAAAAAGTTCAAACTAGTGATTTCGTTAATATATTTTAACAATTTAAAAATATACTTAAATTCATTTAAGTTTACATTTTGGAAAAAATACATCAAACGCAATCAAAGTAATGTTTAAACTAACTCATATAACAATGTTATTAAATACTGAATAATCTCTCTATGTAGTTGCAGGAAGATAATTTTGTAGAAAGGAATACAAAATTCCTCACTTGGTATCCTCAGCTAACCTTAAACCTACACAGACACGTTTGACCTCAAACTGACAGTCTTCCTGCAGCAGCCTAGCTGGACTGGGACTACAAGTGTCCCCCACTGCAGTTGGTTTATGCATAGTATTGACAGGTCAACAAGAATCCTCAAAGACAGCCTTCATGCAGGCCTTGGTAGCTTTGGTAGCTGCTGTTTGCTTCTGTAAAACAAGGGCTTTCGTGAAAAAGCGCATGGTCTGTGTCTCCTTTGACGTCTCTCTACCCAATTTCCTAGGGCTCATTTCTCCCAGGGTGCTATGGCAACCGCAGACTTCTTGCTCCTAGTAAAGTCAGGCAGGCATGCGGCAGCCTCCAGGATTTTGAGTCTACCATTTCTTCTGTGCAGATGGCTCTTTCTCTAGATTCCTGTGTATCTCCCTCCTTCCTTCCTTTCAGGCCTTTGCTCAGGTGTCCCTTCCTTGAGAGTCTTCCCCATCACCCTTTGCAAATGTCACCATGCTTCACACCATTTGCTTCACAGCATCCTGGCTCTCCCTATTCCCTGCTTTTCCTTCTCTTCCCAAGAGTTGCTAATGTTCCATACTATATACCACACTTCTTTCGTGTGTTGCTGGTCTCTCCAACTCGGGCAAGGGTAAGTTACACGATTTGTTTATTTCTATGACACCAATCTTAAAAAGTGACTGGTAAGTGTTAAAGGCTCAAAGTATGTGATCAAACTAATTCGTCATGAAAAACAATGAGAATTAGTCAGGACAAATTTAAGACACAAAAGAGATGGAAGTTTCCTCCTAAATGTGGCTTATATCAATTACAAAATAACACAATAGTTTTTGTTTATTATATGACTCATAGCCTCCCTTTGCTTTTTCGATCTTTTTTAATATAATGAATATTTATGACATAAATATTTCTAATATAAAAATCACATGGCTATGTTTTTGTTAGTTTGTTTGAGACAATGTGTTTCTGGTTATCCTGGAACTTGCTATATAGTCCACGTTGGTCTTGAACTCACAGAGTCTCCTTCCTCTGACTCCTGAGCTCTGGAATTAAAGGTATGCCATGCTTGACTTTTTTATATTCAATGATTGAGAGAAAAAATTTAATGATAAAAGCAAATGCTAAGCTGGATCGAATAAGTAAAAATTGTTCTGGTTTTCCATACATGTGGAAGTTGGGTACATGTATGTAAAGCAACTACCTTCTCAGTCCCCTGACCTGTATGTGTAAATGGATCTCTAGACATCTTAGAATAACTGGGTTCTGCTGAGTACAAAACCTCCAAATGGGAATCAAAGACAAAATTACACTGTCTTTAAAATCAATACCTGTTATAAGTCTAGGAAATTACGGATTGACATTTAAAAGTTCTGTAGTGAAAGAAATTGTCTCTCAGTGGTCCCAGGATATCTATCCATTTCTTCTATGTTCATATTCTTCCAATCATTTATATATTTCTCCAGTGGAGAATGTCATTTGTTCTAGGATTTGGTGTGTGTGTTTTTTGCAGATCATATATTATAACATTAGTAAAATATAAAAAAATAAAACCATTTTCCATTGAAACATTACTTCCTAAATGAGATTGAAGGAAACCATTTTGTTTGGAAGTCCTGGAAAAGAAATAGAGTTCTTTTTTTCTCTTTCTATTTTGTTTACTTTAACAACAAAACCTAAAATTACAATAAAACCAAGCATGTGGTTAACGTCATATACCACTCTCTATAAAGGAGCCTGACTTTTTTCTAATAGATGAAGCCATACTCTGTAAGGGGGGGGTGAGGGCTGCATTATAACGTCCCCTGATTTTCTCACCGCTAAAGAAGAAACATTCCTTTCCACAATAGATTTTGAAACTTTCCAGAAGGTGGTTCTAGCTGAGAACAATCTGGGAAGAAGTTAAGCAGTGTCCATTTAGCCTTTTATGGGATAAAATAATTACCTCCTTCTCCTGCTGGGCTCATTATAATTTGACTCACGAATTAAAGTTTTTTTGTGGCTATTCCTTAAATATTATGGTCTGTTTCCAAACAATGTCATAGTGCAAGGACCTGAAGGAGTTTCCAGGGGTGGTTTTGATTTTTACCTGGTACCCTCTGTTTAGAATCAAAAACACAAGGTGCTGGGAAGCAGCCCCTTAGACAGTGCACAGCATGAGGCTTTTGCTGCTTCTCCAAGTGAGAAAGCCACCACAGGAGCCACGTGACCAGGCTGCCTCAATGAGTGAAAGGCTAAGGTTCTTTCTCCTGAGGATGGGGCCTTTGTTAGCAAAAAGATAAATACAGGTTAATTTATAATGTTAAGACATGAGGCATGGGGCTCGGAATGTGACTCCAGCCACCAAAGCAAACAAACAAACAAACAAACAAAAACTTAGAAAAGCCCTTTTGTTCTTATTTTATTACAAAATAAAAACTTAGAAAAGCCCTTTTGTTCTTATTTTATTACAAAATAAACCAATCTTTTGGGGCCACTGACCGGTAAGAGACGCTAGTAATATTTCTAACCGAAAAAACTGAGAAAGGAGACCACAGACAGGCTGTTCTAACTAGACCTATGCCTATCTACCCCTTACTTCTCCTCATAGATCAGAAATCATAAGTAACTCCAAAGAGGTTAAGCAACGAGCTCCTCAGTAAACAAAGATGTAGTCAGGTAACATTGAGGGCAATCCTAGAGGTCATTTGCCCCACTCAGCTAAACATTCCTGGCTAAATAAAAAGAGCATGTAAATGTCCAGTTTCTAGACTGCAGGTATGGGTACACACCACATTTCTGGAAAATTTCAGTTTTGAAAAAAATATTTATTCTATGTATGTGAGCATTTTGCCTCCTGTATGTATGTGTAGCATGTGACTATGAATGTCAGGTGCCCAAAGAAGTCAGAAGAGGGCATCGGAGTCCTTGGCACTGGAGTTACAGACGGTTGGGAGTCACCACATGAAGGCTAGGCAGCACCACCAGGTTCTCTGGAAGAGCAGCCAGCATTGGTCAACATTGGAACCGTCTTTCCCCACCCTCTGTTGAAAGTCCCTCACTTTGAACACACATTCCTGGTATATCAGGCACCAAAGAACTGACCCACTTAGAAATACTGTCCTAAGACTTCAAAACGAATTGTCTGGATGCAAATATAATTTTCTCTTTTGAATGGCAATGGGCTTCAAAGAATAGCCAAGGTTGAATTATCATACAGAAGGAGGCAGTATCTCTGCCTTCCTGTTGGAGGTTAGCCTTGAATTAAACCTACAGAGATACCTTCTGGTGTGTTAAATGAACTTTGCATTGCTGGCAAGCTTTCCAGACAGTTTTATCTACGACTAGAGTTTATGTTCCTGGGGGGTAAGAACCATGCTTATATATGAAAAATATTTTCAACATTATCTAGCACTCTCAATAAATATTTATGAGGCCCTCAATAAACATATTTTAATTTTAGCTAAAATGTATCCTAAGTCGCTTTAAAATCCGCTTTAGCTTCCAAGGCATGAAGCCACCTCTCATGTGGATATGTTGCTTCAAACCAACTCACTTCAGTGTCCCCTGCACTGTTGAAAATGGAGGCCGAGACTAACGTTCATCGGGAGCGGCAGCCGCTCCTTTATTTAGCCAGTAGGAAAAGGCAGGGCGACAGTAATAGCTTTGACTGATTACTTGGCAAGGGAAACCAAGCCCCGAGGGTGTTCAGGACTCTCTCTGGCCTATAAACCTGTTTGAAAACCTGTTTCTCAGAATTTAAAGCTTGACTCAGCTGAGGTCTGTGTTACAGTGATGTCAGTAACGCCATGGTCCTCAGCCTCCAGGCGGCCGCGCAGTTCCTCATTAACTTTATTTTCATGGAAAGGCAACTTTGGGGAAAATGGCTTCCACTTAAGCTGCTTTATTTTGATTCTCTTCCCCTAAAGAAATAGTTCTGCCAATATTGTTTCATTTGGATTTTGTGCCTTTCGGTGGGTGAGATTATTCCTAAAAGTCAGAAGAGTCTGAATATACAGAATTGGGCACAACATGGGACAGTAGTTTTGAAGCTTAAAAAACAAAGGAAGTCATTTAGGTCTGAAAGTAAATTTGAGATTTCACAATTACCTCTACTCTCCAACTGCTTTGAAAGGAAATGGTATTGAGCTGGGCTGCATAGAGACTACTGAAGTGGGCTCTGTTCTCTTAGGAATCAAAATTTATTGCAGGGCACACTAATGTTTATCCTCACCCAAGGAGCTTAGAGAAGCAGTCAGAAGGACCAGGGGCCCAAACTGACTAGCTTCCTGTCCAGGTCTCTTGGGCCCTGGGTTTAGAAGTGCAGGGCAATAGAAGGAGCCAGTTCTTCATGTGTCGTGTGATTATTATTATTTCTAGACCCTGAAGGGATTTATCTAAAAGGGATTCTCACAGGGATTGTGAGAAGGTGTTTTGTATGCAGGACGTCACCATCTGACATAAGGATAAAATACCTGTCCATGCAGAGAACATGTTCGTCATCTACGAACTTATTTAAGCAAATATAATCATTTTATACTTTAATTTTTCTTCCTGATGACCTGCTAACGCTGGCCTACACTGAAATAGCAAACACCAGCCAGAACTGCTTACCCCACACACGAATCATCTGAGCAGGTCAGTCTCCTCGGAGAGTATCGAGTTTTATTTTTGCTTTGTCAGCACCAAGATGTATACACACGGCAGCACAAGCCTTCCAGAATGGTTCCTTTTTTTTTTTTCTCTCAAGTTCTGGAAAAATGTTAAAGGTCTGCAATCTTTGGCCAGTAGGGGGCAATAGAGTGGAATTTAATCAAATTTAATCAAAGTTGTTTTTTTTTTTTTTTAATTTGAAGCCATGGAAACCAAATTAGACTCATTTCAGTTCTAACTGGAGCCTGGAGTGTCGTCCTCCAGTGTGGCCTCATTTAGTCTCCCCACAGCACCCCAATGCTGTACAAACTTCTCCTGTAAAAGGAGGACTCCCCCTCTTGCCCTCACCCGCTAGAACACATGAAGGTGTGCTGGGGGTTCAGACTGGCACATCTTGGCTTCACACTTCTGCTCCCTCAAGCTGGCTAACCCCTGACTGGGTGACTCCCATTCAGCAGTAGACCACCCTCATGAATGAAGAGTCCGTAGGAGAACTGGACAGGATGAGGAAAAGGGGAATGAGCTTGGTTTTAAATATGACTCCAGTTTTATCTAAAAGGTCAGACCAAACACAGCCTCACAGCCCCCTACTTACAAAGATAAGAGAAATCTGTGCTTACTAATTGTTTGGAGAATAGAAAGAGCTTTAAAGAAAAACTCTTATTCAAACTTCCGTAGCAGCACTACTGCCCCCTCACGTGTTATGAGTGAGGAAGGCAGAATGTTTAATTTTCCTGAAGCTAACTTTCACCCGGCCTTAATCATCCTCTCACTCTCCCCACAGTGAACTGGGGCAACAAGAGGGACTATTCAGTAATAATGTAATCAACTCACTGCCCACTGGCCTTTGAGATTGCATGAATAGAGCCTACCTTTCATTTCTTATTTATTTTATTATTACTGTTTGACAATATTGCACTTCCCCCATATCTGCAAAGCCTCGAATCTTTGTCTCACTTGTTGATTTTAGTCATGCTCTTGCGGGGCAGCAAAAGTCATTCTGGGTTTGTAGCACGCTGGCTTTTCATTAAGCAGCTGTCGGAGCAACCCCTGTGTATTGCTGGCTGTAGGTGACCTTTTGTCTCTGTCCACTGTAAATGGCCCCTGCTAAGCACCCAGAATAGATGGGAATCTCCTTTTGAAAAGGCCTTACTTTAAGGACTGGATACAGTGGTTCAAATGTTGCTTCAGCTCTTCTTCCTTTTCGTAGGACTCCAGTACACTGTGGGCCTCATCATGATGGTAGCAGTAGATTTTATAAATATCCTCCAGTGGTCCTTTGATCTGCAAGAATACCTCTCCTGAGCAGAGCAAAACAAAGACAAAATGAGCTCATCAGCCCAAAGTGACATTTCATTGGCTAGTACTCAGTGCTGACTATGGAAAGTTAGGTCTATCCCACTGGATCCCCAGATTGTTTGGAAGGGACACGAGGCATTGAGTGGATAGTTCTTCCCTTTTCTTCCTTCCCCCTTCCTCCTCCTTCCTTCTGTGCCTTCCTCCCTCTCCTTTCTTCTTTTCTTCCTTTTATAAAACAAATGAAGAGCTTGGCAGGTTGGTGCACAGGATCACAGTGAGAGCAGACTAGATTAGAGAGATCTGCCCATGTTTAAATCAAGTTATCCTACTGACTGGCTTTGAGATTTAAGAAAAGGATTTTAATTCTCTGACTCTATTTCCGCATGTATAAATTACTAGCTACAAGAGATTCAATTTCATAGAGATATCATTGCAATTAGGAGATGTAGAGTGTACAAAACTCAAAGTAGAGTGCACACATAATAGATGTTCCAAATGGAAAAAAGGTATTGTTGACTTATTAAAATTATCGGAGATGAAACAAGATATAAGGTATGCGGTTTTATTGATATTTAGTCTACTAACAATATTTCCTAAGGTTCTTGGGAAGGTAAACAGCAGGATTTAGAGAAAAAAAACAAAAACAAAAACAAACCAATAGACAACAACAACAAAAGTAACAGAGTGGGTGGGGAAAAGATTCAAGGGTTGAGAGTGTTTGCTGCTCTTCCTGAGGACCTGGGTTTGGTTCCCAACACCCACATCAGGTGGCTACCAACCACCTAAAACTCCAGGTCAGGGGGTCCAATGCCTCCTTCTGACCTTCCAGGAACTGGCACCATAAGACAAACAAATAAATAGAAATAAATTTTAAAAATGAATTTAAACTAATAGAACATTTTTCTCTCTGTAGGGAAGGTTAGGGGAGTACATGAAATAGCTTGGACCAATTGTATCCAGACATTTAATGAATCCTCTTTGATACTGTGATAAAATTAGAAATATAACTAGTGGGCCTAGTAGATACCAGATGATAATCTGATTTAATTACTTGCCCCCAGCACCTCAACCTGAGCATAAGCCTTCACTTCTAGCCCATCATTAGATGTTGAGGGCAATGCACAGGAAACATGTGACAAGATCTATTATCAAAAAGCATTGTAAAGTTGAGATGGGAAATAATTCGGAAGCTGAACTGACTGTGGTAGTTGGCTTTATTAACAGTGACATGAACCTGCTATATACATAGTAAGCAGAAAGTCCTGCCACATGAAACAGGCTTTATATAACTGCCAAAAACATGTTATGTAAATGCTTTCTTCTTTACATGCATGAAAAGATAAGAGGTTATTTATCCATATGAATTAGAAATGCATAAATCTGAATTGGAAGCAGATAAATGATTGTCTCACGTCCTGCTGGGAGGTGACAAAGTCAAGCTAACAGGCCAGACATGAGCTTTAGTCCTCACACTCCAGAGCTCTGCTGGACACTGGCTGAGGTGGGAAGACCGCTAAGTCAGAATCAGAAACCAGGGCTTAAATGGTGATTTGGGGAATGATTTTGTTCTAATTTTTTGTGGCTATGTTCCCTCATATTATTTGCGATACTTCTGAAGTGTCCCACTCATTTATAACTTATATCCAGTCGATAAGGTTTTTGTTTCCTCTTCATTATATGGGGTTTCTTCTCTGTTTATAGTTAGATTTTTAAGTAACATGAATCTGTGTGTGTGTATGGAGAGAGAGAGAGAGATAGATAGATAGATAGATAGATAGATAGATAGATAGATAGATAGAGAGAGAGAGAGATTTGTGTGGCTTGGAATTAATCCTATGACTTGAGCATCTTTTCAGACGAAGAGCTGAGGGGTTCTTTCTGTTGCTGGTTCTGGGATTTAGCTGGGTAGATCTTTCTCCCAGTGTAAGTCTTGAAGATCAGCCCTTTAAGACAGTAGTACAAGCAAAAGGAAACCATTAACAACAGAAAATAAGACAGGAAAGCAAGTGAATTTAAGGTTGGTTATAAAACAAAGAGAGACCCCCAAGTAGCACAACCAGGGAGCAAATGGCAAATTTGGGACAGACCTAAGCCCTAGAAGCAGGATCTGAGGGGGCATGGATAGAGGCTCCCTGGCATCTGAGCCTACACATCTCCATATGAAATGAAGTTACAAATATGCACGTTCAGTACAAATGAGGTAATAATAGAGATGTAAGGACATGGGAAAGAGCAAGGGATAGCCTGACAAATACATACGATCAAATCAGAAAGTTAAAAATCAGACAAAGCTTGTTTTATATGCAAGTAAACCATCACTTGCCAGTGTCCTGGAATTTCTACGTCTCCCCTTGACAGTGAAAGCTTCTTCATCTTTTTTATAATTCCCGAGTAAAATTCTGTTGGGGCTCTAATAATAATTATTGAAGTTAAAAGATATTTAAGTACTCTAATTGAAAGTCGTTTATTCACCCAGAGGCCAGCTATAACACTGGTGGGCATAATATTTGATTTCCCTCCCAACCCATTCTGCCTCATAATAGTGCTGATGAAGCGAGGTATCTCCCGGCCAAAAGTGATTCTGTTTCCATGGTAACATAAGCCTGGGCTGCATTTCTTCAGTGGTGAAGGACAACTGCTCAGTCTAATGTGTGTGTTCTGGAAGGATGATTGGGGGTGGAGAAAGGAGTGAACCGAGAGCAGGGAAGGTAATTGCACTCTGGCTGCCTGACACAAAGGTGCCAGAATCCTAGAAAACAAAACCACCATCTTCTTTTTAAAAATTCTACAACCAAAATAATTATTTTTTGCAGTGATATTCCCCTAAAGCTGCTATCTTGCAAAGGAAAAAAAAAGGACAAAACAAAAAAACAAGAATTCTGTTTGAAATTTCTTTAGTCATTGCTGTTAAAGGCAACTTGCCCAACAGGGTTGATATCCCTGGCAGAACTGTGGCCCAGTTGCCCCTCACTGATGCCAGTGCATTCGGGTTCTTCTCCTTTTATGTCCCTGTTGATTGAACTCTTCTTGTCTTTTAGAACTCCATGCCTGGAGTGTAGAGTCTGTAGCATTCTGGATTTCCTCTGTCAGTATGCAAACTTAAAGGTAAAGCCACGCTATTCAAGAAAGCTACTCATCCTAGGCTTTGTATAAGATTGTGGTTCAAACAGAAATAGATGTGATTATTCTTTTTAGCCCATCTCTATTTAACTATGGTTTATTGGATGACTGTTTTGCACTGTGGTGGGCTTGGATAGAGGTTCCCTGGCATCTGAGCCTATGCATCTCCATACGAGATGAAGTTCCAAATACGTATATTCATTACAAACGAGGTAATAATAGAGATTTAAGAAAAAAAAGGGGGGGAGAGCATGTGGTAGTCTGACAATTACATATGGTCAAATCAGAAAGTTAAAAATCAAAGACAATACTTGCTTTATAGGCAAGTAAACCATCACTTGCAAACACAAAGAACCAACAGTTCATTCAAATAACTTATATAAGCCTTCAAGGGCACGAGAGAAGAGTCAGTTTCCATTCACCGTGCCCTATGAAGGTGCAATACTAGGGCTGGGCATCACAGAAGCGAACATGTTCAGTGTCTAGGGAACTATAAGTGAGCATGAAAGCCAGGAGATAGTGAGAGGGGTAAAATGTATTTGGAATCTCCGAATGGCCTGGGATGGAAGGCTCAGTGGCTCCAAGTCTGTGAGGAAGCTCCAGAAACTGGGCAGGTAGTCAGGTCCTGAGCCAGAGCATGTACCACTGGAGAGCAGAACTGAAGCAGATGGAAAAGCATACACAGACCTTAGGCAGTGGACTAACAAGACTGGAGAGCGGCTTGGAAGATTATCCTGATGGAGAGTCATGCGAGAGGTGGAACTGGAGAAAGCAGTTGAGGCCAGAGATGAGAAACCAATCACAAAAGGAAGAAAAAAAAATAAGGGCAAGCCCAGGAAGGTGCAACAGTTAAGAGTGCTCTGTGGTCCAGGGATGTACCTTGAGTGATAAAGCACATGCTTAATGTGTGCAAGGGCCTGGATTCAATCGCCAGAATCACTAAAAGGCCAAAGAAGTGATGTAGAACCAACTGCCTGTGTTCAAATTCTGGTTTTACTATTTATGACATGTATACATTAGAGAAAGCTAGCTGCCTTCTCAGTTCTATAGCTTCCTCATTTGCAAAATGAGAGTGACAGTAATTGCAAGATAACTGATAATTAATGAGGTTAACTGTGTAATGATTTTAACTCAGTAGCTGGTACATGCAAATACTCAAAGGGGAATAGGCCTAACAAGGAAAATCTGAAGCAGGGAGGAAAGAGAAGAGGGGAGCAAAGGGGCAGTGAGAACACACGCACAGCAAGGCGTGATTCCAGGATCACATGCGGCTGAACAAAGATGACGTGTGGAGGCTTAAGGTGCACACACGATGCATTTTACTGTAGATGGACTGATTGAGAATTGCTCGTTATGTGGTCAAGTGGGAACGTCCTGTGTGGACTGCATACGTGAGTATGGAATCCAGGGAAGTAATATATGATGTGAGAGTGATAGAGGATGCCAACTGCGGGTCATAGAAGTCATAGATTTAATGTGGTGGTGACAAAGAAGGCCAGAGAGAGACAGAAAAGAGGGTGTGAAGATCCAGTCTTTGTGAGCTCTTACCTTGAGAGGAGACAAGAAGATGAGGTCTCAGAGAAGCAAGAGGAGGCACAGTAAGTACTTGGAGACTAGGAAAAATCAACAGAGCCAAGAGCAGTCTTGTGCTTTAATGACATTTAGGCCAATCAATGGTGGATTGTGCATCGGCACATGATTCCAAGACAATTTTCCCCATTCTATATTGTGTATCTTGACTAATGTATATCATTAGGTTGCCCTCTTGGCTTTTGCAACTTCAATTTATGATGTCTGCATGTGACAAAGGTGGTGTATTTCTTAGTACGTGTTCCATCGCTCAGGAACACATGACTATACAACTCAGGGAGCAATGTAGCCG